GACTTCAGCTACGTTATTCACGTAGCTGAAGTTGCGTACCTTAGTTTGAATTAGGGGGGTAGTGTAGACCAAGCCTCACTGCACCTGGAAGTAGCGTTGACTATCTCTGTCACGTCAGAATTGTTACTTATAAAGCTTTTAATTCTGTTGTAAATGTATGCTACAACGGAGGTAAGTGCTTAATAAGTACTTTAAAAAAATCTGAGACTGGTTTTCCTGCCTTCACCACACTGAGTACAAAGATTAAAATTAACTCTCATTTTTGTGGTGGAAACTGCTGTTTCCACAAAAAATTCACAAGACTAGTAATAAGGTTTTGGTTTTACAAATCCTCAGTGTAGTTTGCCATTAGTTTTGCAGATGGTGAGACTGTTTTTGCACAGATCTTCTCTAACACTTCTAGAAGTACTGTATTTAAGGATGGGACTGCTGATTGCATAGGGAAAATAGATCACTACAGTCTCCAAGTTTGTGCACTCGTTACCTGTTTCATGAATGCTAAATTCACTTGCAAAAAATCATTAAAAACAACTCCAAATCCCAGTGTTTACACTCACAGCCCTAACTCCTTCATAAAGTCTATGTATAGTAAATAATATCCTAACACACCTTTCATAAATAGGTGACAAATGTCTTTAAATTGTATATCTAACTTTTATTTTCAATATGCATTCTGAATTCCAGATAGAAAAGCCATTAAAAATTCTGTGTTACTACTGCCCATTGATTTGATTACTTCGTGCCTCACTATGTGCCTGTAATTTATAATTAGCAACTTTTTCATTCCTTTGTCTTAAATAGGTTATCTTTTTAAAATAGTGGGCCCTGTCATGCACTATCTTCTCAGACAAAACTCCTTGAAGTCTATAAGAACTTTACCTTGATTTAAAAGTCAAATCAACAAAACACAAAGTACTTGCTTAAGTTTAAGCACATGCAAAAGTCTATCCTTATTCAGCAAAACTCCTAAGAATGTGCTTGCATACTTTTCCAAATTAGGACCTTGGGGAGTGAGGATCAGCCTTGGAGTGAAGTAAAAATCCAAGGTTGGTGAGAAAATTACAGTAAAACTAAATTATTCCCAGTCCCGTGTTTTACTGTACCTCATTTTATGGTATAGAGTTGTAAAAATATGTGCAGTGCATATGGGCCCTGTTTACATAATTGAAGCTGTGGTACATAATCAAATGGGCCTACATATTATTTTCTCTTCTCAGGCTACATTTTGTTCAATTTTATTTTTCTAGAACTAAAGGTCATCGTAGATGCACTTATCCAGTCTATTAAGAAACTTGTTGATGTGATGATCCTGACCGTTTTCTGCTTGAGTGTCTTTGCCCTTGTAGGCCTCCAGCTCTTTATGGGTAACTTGAAAAAGAAATGTGTCCGTAACAATACTACATTTGATCAGAAATTATGTGATGATGCCAAGATAAGTGATGTAAAGGAATCAGGTAAACTTTTGTTCTTTTTTCCTTTAAATAAGAGTCTATAATGCAATCACAATGTGGGATTTCAGCTCAAGTAGACATCCGGAGATAGCTTTAATCTACTTAGCTTGGGTCCCACAGCAGAGAAGCCATGGCAATGTGCGCTTCAGCATAGGTTAGCCCCGCAAGTAATTACCCAGGGTTCTCAGCAGGCTTGTACAGCCCATGTTGAAGCGCTTGCTGTCTCAGCTTCACTGCAGTGCTCTGGGACTAGAGCTAACTACATTAAAGCTAGCATGGGTGTATTTACTTAAGATGCAGTCACGCCCTGTAACTGCAGTATAGACATACCCTTAGGTGTATATGTTTGTTTAAACGTACATATTATAGTTAATGTTGAAAATATGGTTGAATAAAAATTCTCACAACATGGCATATTCTTCAACATACTGAAAGGCCAGGGAGATAGATGCCTATAGAATATTCAAAGGGGGCACCTACACTACAAAACATATGTGTGCCCAAGCATGGGTATGTGTAAAGCAACTGGGTTATGGGCATTGCCATTCATAGAATCATAGAACTGGAAGGGACCTCGAGAGGTCATATAGTCCAGTCCCCTGCACTCGTGGCAGGACTGAGTATTATCTAGCCCATTCCTGACAGGAGTTTGTCTAACCTGCTCTTAAAAATCTCCAATGATGGAGACTCCACAACCACCCTAGGCAATTTATTTCAGTGGTTAACCATTCTGACAGTGAGGAAGTTTTTCCTAATGTCCAATCTTAACCTCCCTTGCTGCAATTTAAGCCCATTGCTTCTTGTCCTATCCCCAGAAGTTAAGAAAAACATTTTTTCTCCCTCCTCCTTGTGATAACCTTTTACATACTTGAAAACTGTTATCATGTCCCCTCTCAGTCTTCTCTTTTCCAGACTAAACAAATTGGCCATCAGGAAGTTTAGACTTGAAATTAGACGAAGGTTTCTAACCATCAGAGGAATGAAGTTCTGGAACAGCCTTCCAAGGGGAGCAGTGGGGGCAAAAGACATATCTGGCTTCAAGACTAAGCTTGATAAGTTTATGGTGGCGAGGGTATGATGGGATAGCCTAATTCTGGCAATTAATTGATCTTTGATTATTAGTGGTAAATCTTCCCAATGGCCTGTGATAGGATGTTAGATGGGGTGGGATCTGAATTACTACAGAGAATTCTTTCCTGGGTGTCTGGCTGGTGAGTCTTGCCCACATGCTAAGGGTTTAGCTGATCGCCATATTTGGGGTCGGAAAGGAATTTTCCTCCAGATTGGCAGAGGCCCTGGGGGTGGGGTGGGGGTTTGCCTTCCTCTGCAGCGTGGGGTACCGGTCACTTGCTGGAGGATTCTCTGCACCTTGAAGTCTTTAAACCATGATTTGAGGACTTCAATAGCTCAGACATAGGTTAGGGGTTTGTTACAGGAGTGGGTGGGTGAGATTCTGTGGTCTGCATGTGCAGGAGGTCAGACTAGATGATCATAATGGTCCCTTCTGACCTTAAAGTCTATGATTCTATGAATCTTCCCTCATGGGTCATGTTTTCTAGACCTTTAATCATTTTTGTCGCTCTTCTCTGGTCTCTCTTCAATTTTACCACATCCTTCCTGAAATATGGCTCCCAGAACTGGACACAGTACTCCAGTTGAGGCCTAATCAGCACAGGGTAGAGCCGAAGAATTACTTCTTGTGTCTTGCTTACAATACTCCTGCTAATACATCTGAGAATGATGTTTGCTCTTAAAGACCCCCAGATCCCTTTCCACAGTACTCCTTCCTAGGCAGTCATTTCCCATTTTGTATGTGTGCAACTGATTGTTCCTTGCTAAGTGGAGTACTTTGCATTTGTCCTTATAGAATTTCATTCTATTTATTTCAGATCATTTCTCCAGTTTGTCCAAATCATTTTGAATTTTAATCCTATCCTCCAAAGCCCTTGCAACCCCTCCCAGCTTGGTATCATCTGAAAAATGTATGAGTGTACTCTGTATGCCATTATCTAAATCAGACCCAGAACTGATCCCTGCAGGACCCCACTCATCATGCTGTACCAACATCCACTGAAAACTACTCTCTGAGAACGGTTTTCCAACCAGTTTTGCACCACCTTATAATAGCTCCATCTAGGTTGCATTTCCCTAGTTTGTTTATAAGAAGGTCATGTGAGACAGTATCTAAAACTTTACTGAAGACAAGATATACCACATCTACTGCTTTCCTCCATCCACAAGGCTTGTTACGCTGTCAAAGATAGCGATCAGGTTGGTTTGACCTGATTTGTTCTTGACAAATCCATGCTGACTGTTACTTATCACTTTATGATCTTCTAGATGTTTGCAAATAGATTGCTTAATTATTTGCTCCATTATCTTTTTGGGTACAGAAGTTAAGCTGACTGGTTTGTAATTCCCTGGGTTGTCCTTATTTCCCTTTTTATAGATGGGCACTATATTGCCCTTTTCCAGTCTTCTTTCAAAGATAATTGCTAATGGCTCAGATATCTCCTCAGTCAGCTCCTTGAGTATTCTAGGATTCATTTCATCAGGCCCTAGTGGCTTGAAGAAATCTAATTTGTCCAAGTAAATGCACTAGGCATTCACAGTCTTCAGAAATGTATGGTGCACACTTAGCTCGACTTAAGTAGAAAAAGACATACTCCTCTACTATTTTGCCTTTTTGTAAACCTCCATCTCTTGTTACCTATGGGATATCCTGTGGCATTATTCCAGGCAACAATCCGCTCACAATGGAGTTGAGTTGATGAGCTATATCTCCTCAACACTCTTAAAGGGGGCAGCACTGAAATAGGTTTTTCATTTGGGAAGTGAGCTGCCAGGCTACCCTTCAGCCCATCATTAACAGAAATGTAATTTTAGAGAAAAGCCAGGTAGAAGGTGCACATTTTGCCTGGTCACCTTTCCAACCACCTTTCCAACCATAATTACATGTCATTTATAGATCAATAGATAATAATTCTAGGTGGTTGCACTTTTGCCTTTTAAGCTACCACATCCCACTCCTGTCATCTAGACTTTACAATCTAGATATCTCATTCCAGTCGTCTAGGCTGAACAATCTATATACCGGCTTTTGACGCATGTGAAAGAAGAAGATTCCACTCCTTATCTGAGATTAATTAGAATCTTGCAGTCATTCAGATAGAAGGATATAGGTCTCCCCTCAGGCATGCAGATTGCCTTTTTGAGGAACAGCTGGAAGGAGCATAAAACTGACATTTCTGTGCTTATATGAGGATAGACAGAGACATATGCTGTTTATTGATCAGTTACTAGTGAATTTTCAAAACAAATGGTAGTACCCACAGATTGTCAGAGAAATGTAACTATAGTATAAATTTTTACAAAGGAGATTCTCAGGCATATGTGCACATACATCAAAGACATATATATTTCTTCTTTAATTTTTTAAAAATCCATTAATACATAGATTATTATATGTATCGTGTATATACTGCTCACTTGATATTTGTGACCAATATAATTAACCTCGGAAGGTACTTATGAGAAAGTAACTTGTCATTTTATGACCCTTTCATTTTAACAATAGATATCTGCTACAGAATGAATAATTCTCAGGATGTATTACTGTGCGGATTCAGCTTGGAACCTGAGTAAGTATAGCTAACACCCATTTTTAGTTCTTTCTTTTCTTTGCTATTTTTGTTGTTTTGTATTTGGCTGTAGACAAACTACACTGTAAGCTTCCTGGAAGCTGTGATTTCCTTTCACTTTGGGGAAAGAGTGAGGCTACGCAATAAGGAGAATGAAAAATCCCATTTAAGGAAATGATCTTGTAATCTATTGCTAAACATTGGTGATGTAGTGAAAATAAGTGGTCTGAGAGAGTGGGAGATGGAGGTAAAAAAATAGTGATAAAGCTGGTCAAGGGCCTGGAAATTTAAAGTGCAAAGTTTGTTACTCATTTGTAGTCAGTTCCTAGCACTGACTTCCTCCCTTGATAGTTCACTCCAGAGTCTTGTCTCCCCTTCCAAGAAGAGCCTTCCTCTTATATAGAAAAACAAAAGACCTTTATTCTTTCCAAAGACCACTCTGTGTCTTAAGTTATTTTCTCAGTCCATATCAAGGATGGCATAGCTGAGTCTATCCTTTCCCCTCTTCAAAACCCCTTTGTCAGGTGGTGAGCCCAGGACACTGTTTTATTTATATATTTACATTTTATTCACTCGAGGAGGAATTCAGCTCAGTGCAGAGGCCTCTAGCAAGGCACCATACACTGTTTATTATTTTAATTGCAGTAGTCCCCAAAGGTTCCATTCAGGATTGGAGCCCCATTGTGCTAGGTACTGTACAATCACACCGAAAGACTGGAGGTTTTATGTAATATCAAAATTATCAAATTTGGATCCAGAAATAGGTATCTTTTGCATGGATAATAGACTTGGGGATGGGGGGGAACCACCTTGATAAATTACACTTATTTTGCTGCTGCACTATGTGGCTTGACTGACATGTTACACGCTTATTATAAAATATCTGACTTCGGAGGGAATGAATAGTCATGAAGACTCTCTTATATGTACTTTTAGGGCTTTACAGACCTGATTTACACAGTGCTGCCAGACTTGCAGCTTCAGGGAACACCGTGGTCATGAGGGTGGGTGGGTGTTCACCTCACAAACACTAAGCTGAAATGTTGATGTGATGATCGCTATTCTCGTTCCCATGCCATGTGGTGTGAAATACAAGCTGCTGTCCATTGACACATGTACCCCTTCTGCCAGGTGGAGTTGGCAGCAACAAGGGCCAGGTTCAATATCTAAAGGTTCGAACAAAAGAGAACCAGCTTGAGCTCCCACACAGTTATCTGGGAAAACTTAACACCAGCCACAGTGGTTTGGGCAGTATTCTTTGCCTCAGTTTCCCACCTTGCAGTGGGAAAGTCTGATGAATGAATGTCTCTTTAACACATCACTCTCCCTCTGATACACCCCATTCACAGCTGGCTGTCCTTAGTTAGCAAAGATTCAAAGTTCAGAGATGCATTCACAGGGGTTCACCTCCCGTCCCTCGGGGAGGGGGCATTGACCAAAGTCTCTGCAGCTGCGTCTGCAACTGTCTCACAGCTGCCACTGCTGTTTCTCTACCACCACTGGGTACTGCCTCCCTGCTGCTGCCTCCATGATGTCACATTCTGAGGTCCTGCCACTTAACTCAGCTCTTACTGATTGCAGCTCAGTGATTTCAGCAGGCAGTGGGGAACCTCACAGCCAGTGTTGTCTCTGTGTTGTCTTTCACTTTCTCCATACAAGGTCTAAGGCTTAGGACCCTAGACTTGCTCTGCAGTCAGGACAGCTCTAGGAATTAACAGCCAGAAACAAGGACTTTCAGTTGAGTCTTATCATCTCTGTCATTAAACACTGGAGAGGGACAGGTGAAATGGTGCCTAGGACTCTTTAGGCAAAGTCTACACCACCAGGTAGGAACATCTGTCCCCACCCACTGTCATCTTCACTGGGATTGGGCATCCCTATCCCCTGTTTAGCAAATGAGGTTCAATTTAGGGTGACCCCTTGTCAAGGTGCCTTCCCCATTCTGAACTTTAGGCAGGGGATCTGGTTCCACCACCTCTTTCTGGGTCTCTGGTAAGACAGAAGGGGCCCTGGTGGAAGGCTCAGGAACAGGGATAGGTGTGAAAGCTTGCTTAGTCTGGCTGCGGGTGACCATTCCCACCCTTTTTGCTAGCTTCACATGGTTGGCCAAGTCTTCCCCCAGCAGCATGGGGATGGGATAATTATCATAGACTGCAAAAGTCCACATTCCTGACCAGCCCTTGTACTGGACAGGCAACTTGGCTGTAAGCAAGTTTAAAGAGTTTGACGTAAAGGGTTGAATTGTCACCGGAGCCTCTGGGTTGATGAATTTGGGGTTCACTAGGAATTGTGCCTTCCCCACTCTGAACTTTAGGGTACAGATGTGGGGACCTGCTCCCTCTACCCATTTTGTGTCGATTTTCCCCGCCTCTCTAGCGGCCTGGGACTGCTCATATTGATCAGTGTAAGACTTTCGGCTGAGTCTATTTTCTTATCCCATAACCACTGTTTTATATTATCCTTGGTCGTATTCAGGAATTGTTCCTGAGTCATCAAATCAACCATTCCTTCAAAGGTAGCTACACCCCTGCCGTTGGCCCATTTCTCTAACAGATCCATTATCTGGTGTACATAAGCCACATTACTTAGTCCAGGCCCTCTCTGAAGGGCTCTAAATTTGACTCTGTAAGTGTCAGGTGTAACTTGAAATTATTTCAAAACCAAATCCTTAAATTTACCATAGTCAGAAGCCTCCCCAATAGGCATCTTGTTGAATACGTCCAGCGCTCTTCCTGTCAATTTTGCTACCAATGTGGTCATCTTTTGATCTTCAGGAATGGCATGGCGAGTGCACAGTCTCTCAAGCTACTCTCACAGACAACAGATTCAAAACACAGAGGATGTCCCTCTGGGCAAAACCTTAGTTACACAAAGAAACCCAATTTGATTCTCTCTCTATGCAAAAAGAAGTCACAAAAGAAAATAAACATAATCTAATACATTCCTTCTCTAAACACTTACTACTTTTAAGAAATGTTAGATGGCTGATTCCTGGATCCTTCACTCCGACACAAACTTTTCTGAACAGACAAAGACT